ATTGGGTGTACAAACAATTTTGTGAATACATAATCATCTCCCATTTTGATTCCTGTGGATTTTTTATTCTGAAATTTCACTATTTTGGTCTTCAGGCCTTCCACCTACAGTATACCAAAAATCTTCGAGGTTCGATTTCGCGAAGCATATTTTTTTGAGACACGAAAAACGCCAATTTGTATGAAAATCGTGAGGTGTACAGACAATTTTGTGAGTGACTGTATATATATGGACTGGTCATTTATTTAGAAACCCAACATTCTTGGACAAAAAATGAAATGATAAAATGGAAAAAAAAATCCCTATATTGTTCCCTGAGTAATGTGGTCATAATTTGTATAGTCATTTAAATAGTAGATCTAAACCATTGTACAACTAGATGTAAGCATGAAGAAACCGAATTAATAATAATAATAATCCGTCAGAAGTTGTAACTACCTATGATTATGGGGTAGTGCGCGAACCAAACATATTAAAACGTTGTAATGCAAAGTGTATGTCATCTAAGCCACCAAATCAGGCGGTGTTCTTCATGGCCAGTGGAGATACGCCGGATGGTGAAATTGTTGAACCACCTGGCGATCATAGCGGACCAGTTGTCACAGAAACATATGACAAAATCATGGCCATAAACCAGGGTGTAAATGGAACTTCAACAGGTGGTCGCGGAATCTTTTTCCCCATTTCCCTCTTCCTTGATTTTATCAATGATCCAAAGGTAGATTGAATATAATGAACTTAGTCTAACATTCCTTTTAATTTCATCGCTAAACGTATTACAGAGCGTGGCGGTGAAGAAGCAATGTGCTTTTATTTGCACGTGTCCTCATTGTTTGTTATTTACTATTCATTTCTTTTAACTGTTTTTGTTTCGAATAAGAGTTTTTATGCGGTAAGAAATTCGTTTCTTGCTGTCTTTTTTCCCTGTCATTCCATTTCAAAGTTAAATATAAACAATATATAAATGCGAATATATGAGAAAAGTGCATTTTATTTTCCATTGATCGTTGCGCAGTTATACGATTATCGTGGTTAGATAGGGTTGTTGCCAAACTTATAAGCACTATTTACATGTAATTTAACCACTGATTTGTGCAAAGAAATCGAACGAAAATGTGTGAAATGACGAGAAAACGTGTTTTTTTTATGCAAATGGCCTACGAGATTCCGAGGATTTTGCGGAATGCGAACCATTTTTGTGTTCCTGAAGAGATAGTAGACAGATATTTCATGCAATGTTCTAAAACGTTTCAAGATATTCATTTTTTCAATTGTTTTTGCATTTGTGTTCGTGGTGACGTTTCAATCGAATGTCATGCATGTCATTTCTTTTCTGTGTTGATACAGCGAATAAAAGTTTCGTTTCGTTGCATTGACTCACTCAGATTTGGTTAGTTTTGAATAAAAATCTTATCTCATTGGTTTATTATTGGTCAATATCTTTATTCATGAATGTAAGTAATAAGGAGGTCATGATCATTTCCTGGGTAACATTTTCATCGTATCTTTGTCTCAATCACCACTTGTCTTGGCCAGATGGACCAATAAATTATTTTGAACATAAAGCCACAGAATTTCCTTCCAAAAATAATTTCAATAGCTTTGAATTCAATTTGAATTAAGGCTTGATGATAGAGAAGAAGCACTTTTTAAGTGAAGAAGAACAGTGACTAAAAAAGGAAGAAAGTACGATTTTATTAGCTTCAGAACTATTTCGGTATTATGTCTAATGATTGATTCCAATTTTTATTCAATATAATTTTTCTTTCTGACACGATAAAGGTATTTCACACATTCTATTAGTTTTCAATTACATTCCATGTATTTTTGAATATTTTAATGGAAGTCAGTGTCAACCGCGGAATCAAGTCGTTTGGTGCAATGAAATAGTGTTGAATCAAATTGATTGATTCGTAATAGATGAAGATGGTCGTAGAAGACATGAAAATGTCCTTATTTCTTTGATTGATGTTGCTTTTTCATGTGCGACTCGGCTTTATCCTTTCGAATGAAACACTTGTCACACCACTTGCACTGAAAAGGTTTCTCTCCTGTGTGATGGACTCCCATGTGATTTCGTAAATTGGTTGTTTTGAGCGTGAAAAATTCACAAATGTAACATTGATAGTGACGACGGCGGCAGATCTTCTCATGCGCTCCTTGATCGTTTTTATTTGTGAATCCTCGTTGACACTTGCTGCATTCGAATGGGAACTGATCTCGATGTGTTGCTAAATGCCCATTGAGATTATTTTTCTGGATGAATTTCTTGCCGCATATTTCACATTGGAATCGATGTGAGTTTTGAGATTGCCTTTGAGGAAACCTTTGTGTTTGCAGAGATAACATTCGTATCGACGTTGTTTGCAGCCATTTTGATGTGATTGTTTGGCATCTTCCCCAGCAAATCGTTGACCACATTTCGAACAAGAATGAGGCAGCTCATCAGTGTGAGTTCGCAAGTGATAATTCAAAAGAGATTTTTGTGCATAAGATTTGAAACAAACCGGACATTCGAAACGCTTTTCACCGCTGTGGATTTTCTTGTGATTCAAATTGGATTTTTGAGTGAAGCTTTTCGAACAATCATCGCACTTGTAAGGCTTGTCGCCTGTGTGAATACGAATGTGTCTGGCGAAACACCCTTTGTGCGATGTAACATAACCACACACATGACACTTGTGCTCCTTTCGTTTCTTCGGCGCCTTATTCCTCGGAATCGTTCGTTTGTTTTGTTTTCTCGATCCATCGCGTTTCTTCACGATTCCACTTCGATTGAGTCTGTTGCGATCGACTTTCGAGTTGACCTTCACTTCATTATCTTGACCATCATAAGCATTTGATCCATTTCTATCTGAGCCGGAATCTCCTGACCGATCTTTTCCTTTGTCTGGCTTCTCATCTTCACACTTCACTTCCTCTTTCACATCATTCAAATCAATGTCGTGATCAAAATCATATTCAGACTCGTCAGCCGATTCCATTTTCGATGTCGCGTCCACCGCATCTCCTACGAATGTTTCATTTGGTTTTGTTGCCAAATAAAATTCTATACCATCCGACGGATCTTCCTTGATGTCTGGCTCTTGTTTGATTTCCACTGCTTCATTTTCTGGCTTGCGTCGTACACGACCATCCGACGTACCTTCGCCTCGATCCATACCCATAACCAATGACAATCTGTCAAATAACCAAAAAAATACGCAAAATTACAGGAGATATTCATCCAATGCGCAACACCGACGAACAGGAACACCAAATCCAAATCTGAAGAGAGTTTTCTGTAGTTTATTGAAGGTGCCGTGAAAATAAATTGCCTTAGTAATATTTTTGCCTTACACTTTGCCCAAGGCATTACAATCTTGCAACGCAGTTTTTTTCTTCAAAAACACGATTCGTTAAAAAATCTTTGAATACTTACAAAATTCGGATGTCCGTGCAAAATAATAACAAAAATGTCTGCTTGCTAAAACTCTTTCAAAACGGGTTAGAAGTGGTTTTTGTTTTTAGTGCGCATCAATAAACCCAAAAGACGAAATATGGCGTGATATTTGGTTTTATGTGAGTTTGTGTTACTGAATGAACATGGACATCAGGCAATTTTCCGTTTTATTCCATTAATATTGACGTTTGAACTTTCCAACGTTCATTGGGAATTTATTTAGGAGAGGTTCGGTTCACTGGCAAGAAATAAATTTCGGATTAACGAAGACTGTTCAAAATCAATCGATTGCATAAATTGATTTATTAGAATTCTATTTAGAATTATCAACAGTTCTCCTGACGGCGAGCTCTGATTGTGACAGGTGAATTGCAAACATGAATTCCAGTGTGAATGTCAGTTGAACATTTGGAATGCAGCGAATGAAATCCAATTGTAAGCTGTCATCTTCACATAGAAGGGAACACCGACTCACCAATACACAAACAGCAAAGGAGAATCACACAACAAAACGTACTTATTTCCATTGACGAACAGACAGGCATAAAGTTAGTGATCGAAATATATGTTTGCAATTTTGTCAAGGTTTTTTTCCCAAAGAAAAAGAGGTTTTTCCCAAGGTTTTTTTCCACTGTTGTGCATTTTTTAACATTGAATGAAAGGTTCTTATTTGCTCTACATTCATTCGGACTGATATTATTCATTTGGCTGAATTTCCACTTCATTTGCTATTTCTCAACGGCACAGCACCCATTTTGCTTTCAATAAATGTTATTGAGCCAACAACTTGTGTAGAGTGCGACGAGATTTGAGTTATTTTTCAGTCTGAATTTAAGTTGTTATAATATTTCCAATGCGCCATTTACACTTAGTTCACTATCAAATTCTTTTTTTCGCTTTGAATCTCGATTTGTTTTTGTGCAATTGTATTCTAAGCAGAAATATTATGAACACAACAAACACGTTGGTTCTATACTTTCGAATCGCAATTTGAAATTTGACACTTGACTCCGTTTTAGAGCAAATGGTACTAGTGTCAAATCTCAAGGAATCATTGTGTTTACTGTGAATAATAAATCATTTGAACAGTAAGATTTCATTTCCTTTTCATATTTGTTGTCATTGTTCGACAGATTACCGTTGATTATGGATATGGACCCAGGCGAAGGTACTTCGGATGGTCGTGTGCGATGCAAGCCGAGCAGCACTGCAGTTGAAATAAAACAAGAGCCAGCCATCAAAGAAGAACCATTGGATGACATTCGTTGGGTGACACATTTGAATGAAACATCCGTAGGAGATGCGGTGACTACGGCATCGAACATCGAATTAGATAGCGAGTCCAAAAATGATTTTGTGCTCGACTTCGAGTTGAATGGTGTGAAAGAGGAAATGAAGTATGAAGAAGATAAAGCAGAAGAAGATTCACCAGCAGATCCAAGCTCGAGTAAAGACGCACCAATTCCTCGTGGCAATCAAGATAATGAACTAATGGTCAATTCGAATGTCAGTCGACAGAAATTCAATTCAAGTGGTAGAGTGAAGAAACGCGATGGATCGAGAAAACAAAACAAATGCACGATTCCGAGGAATAGAGCGGCGAAGAAACGAACGAAGCACAAGTGTCATGTGTGTGGTTATGTTGCACCGCAAAAATGCAATCTCACCGTACACATTCGTATTCATACAGGCGAAAGGCCGTACAAATGTGATACTTGCTCGAAAAGTTTCACACACAAAGGTAATTTCAATCGACACGAGAAAATCCACAGTGGAGGAGAGCGATTTGAATGCGCCGTTTGTTCCAAATCATTCACACTGAAATACACTTTGGATTTTCACTCGCGAACTCACACTGATGAACTTCCCCATTCTTGCCTGAAATGTGGTCAACGTTTTGCCAGAGAAGAGGCCAAACAACCGCATGAAAAGCAATGCAAACGACGTCGATACGAATGCTATCTTTGCGAATACAAATGTTTTGGCAAAGACCACCTGAAAAGCCACATGCGAGCAAGACACACCGGCGAACGTCGATTCCAATGTTAAATATGCGGCAAGAAATTCATCCAGAAAATTCAACTTAACCAACATTTAGCCACCCATCGTGATCAGTTCCCAATCGGATGCATTAAGTGTCGTCGAGTATTCGCAAATGCAGATGATCAAGTAGCGCATGAACAAATCTGTCGCCGTCGTCAGTTACAATGTCACATGTGCGAATATTCCACTTGGCAAATGACCAATCTACGACTTCATATGCAAGTGCATCACACAGGAGAAAGGCCGTTTCAGTGCAAGTGGTGTGACAAGTGTTTCATTCAAAAGGACGACGCCCAAAAGCACATGAAAAGCATCCATCAATACAAAAAGTGATACTGTGGGCAATAGCAATTGTTCTATTCCATTTGAATTAACTCCTTATTTTCTTTCTTTTTTTGAATAATTCTTCTGATTTTCTTTGAAACACCTGTCAATTGGATTCAGCCACTCCAACACAATACTCTCAACAAAATCGGAAAAGAAATCTGTTTGAATGAATTTGCTGATTCAATAAAGATTTAAAATCCAATCCATTGTTTCATTTGCTTGGTTAGACAATTTTAATTAAGAAAACATCGTTCGACGGGTTTCGACAATTTTTTTCGAAGGTTTATGATAAAAAAAAAATTGAATTTCTTGAGAATTATAATCTGCAAGTGCAATATTTTTAGAAAATAGTGTAGGTCAAGCATGTAAATATAAAATAATGGTAGTACTACCACAGCCAAGTAACATCTTCTTCAAGTCAATGCTCATTATTTCAATTTCGCAATAGTTAGCATGACCATATTTAGCTTGTCGAGTAGAAAAACTGACGAATTCGATTTTTAAGCCAATTTCACAGAATTTCATGGACTTGCAATCAATACTAAGCAATAGCCACATTTACGTGTATCCAATTTATTATGACTGAAAGATGAAAATAATATGAAAACAGAAGGGGAGAAAAATCACTTTACTTTACCCTAGTCTTCTCTCCAAAAATCAAAGATGGTGAAATATGACCCACTCCAATGGAAACCGTGAACCGTTCACCCAAATGAAATGAAACAGCATTGATGGTTAAATATTAAATTAATAAAAATGAAATAATGTTTATTTGTTTTCTTTTTTATTAATTAGTTCGACAAAACAGCGAAAGGTATATATATCTATATATTTTTTATCTAATTCACTGCCATCACGACTAACAACCGAAATGATAACATTAACGTAAATTCCCATGGTATTTTTGTTGTTGTTTTACTTTTTGCATTGGTTTCATAAGGTTCCTGACTGGCTAGCGCGTCTTCATTTGTTTTGTTTTGTTTTTTTTTTTTTTTGGTTTGGTTTGGTTTTTCTTTTATATGGAAATATATTTCATTAACATGCATTTGTTTATCAATCTCTTTATGTTCTTTAAAATTTGCAATATCAACAAAGTATGATAAATTGTGGTTGTTTTTTGTTTTGTTCATTACGACATCCTCATTTTGGTTCTACACAACAATTCTCATATTCAACATTCAAGGATGGAAATAGATTCAAAATTTGATCTCGTCGAGAAAGTGTTGCAATCAAAAAAGACTTAATGGAGGAAAGAAAAATGGGTTGTTCGTCGAATTTACTTTTTTTAATGGTGGTGTTTTATTGTGGTTGGTTGACTATTTTTTTGAATTAACTTGAGTTGCAATGCGACAGAAAAATGAATTTAATCATTGGAAGACAATTATTTTAGTGTGTTTTTTTTTGCTCAAAACTCTTTATGGTAGTTGCCCAAAACAACTCTTTGTTCTCGTGTTTTTGTGTGTGTTTTTTTCTGTTCATTTCTATCAAATTGGCATTATGTCAATGGCATAAATATGCCAAATGTCATTGCAACCCAACCAAAACAATTTAATATTGACTCGTCCAAAAAAAAATTATTCAATTTTCCAATGTCCATACACTTCATCTGAGGTGTGAATATCTCAAAATGAGAAAGAATAACAACAAAAAACAAAGCCTCGGCCCATAATAGCCGACGTATTTGACTTTTTTTTTCAACCAAAATTTACCGGTTCACTGAATTTGATAATTTTTGACATTATTTCTGTTCATAATTGACTCAAAGCAATGATATATTTGGTTTTGCACCAACAAACTGGTTTGTTTTGGAAGAAAAGAGACAAAATGCAAGTAAAAATTCTTAATTTGTGTATTTGCCAAGCGCTGAATTGTTTAAATTCCAATTGGTTTTTTTCGTAAATAGTTTTTTTTGTTCAAAAGAAGTACAACGTCGATATGCTATAGTTTTTTTTTGCTTTTAAATTTAACAAACAAGACCGAAATTGTTTTTTTTTATTTATTTCTTTTAAATATTTATAACGATTCATTTTGCTTCAAAAATTACAACTGAACTAATTCAAATGTCAAATAAAAGATAAGATATTCTTTTCACAACTCTGTTTTTAAATATTCGTCACAATCGATTCGGAAAGCATCTCTCGCTTGTCATATGCACGAAACCTAGATTCGATCTATCGAAATGGGTTTTTTTTCTTCAGAAAAAACGCGTCGAGACTTGTTTCGCTTTTGACACATCAAAATGTAGTCGAAAATAATGATTTCTCTTTTGGTTTATCTGGTGTCATTCTTCATTCCATCGTTGCTTTCCGTTTGTATTTTCATCATTTTTTAAGTTTTGTTTGTTTTTTT